TCAAGTCTGGTGTGATTAACCTTGAGTTTGTATCTATTGTTTGCTCTTGTATTGTTATGGTTGAAGCTGAAGTATTCATTGACAGGTAGGACATTGCAATGTATGATTTTATATACCATACTTCGATCACACTGATGACAGCGTAATTCAAGGTTTTTTAGGTCTAGACCAGGGGTGTCCAAACTTGGCAACTTTAAGACTTGTGGACTTCAACTCCCAGAGGAATTCTGGGAGTTGAAGTCCACAAGTCTTAAAATTGCCAAGGTTGGACACCCCTGGTCTAGAATTTCAAGTCTGGTGGCAAAGGTATTCTGCAACAAGTAGAAGAGTGGAGAACTCTTCTTGTGAAACATTTCTGGACTTTCTCAACTGTGTTAATATCAGATACATAATGTGGGTTCCAGACTGATGAGTTGTATTCGAGTATTGGTCTAACAAATGTTTTGTATGCTCTAGTTAGTAGTGTGATATTACCAGAGAAAAAGCTACGTAAGATTAGGTTAACAACTCTTAATGCCTTTTTGGCTATGTAGTTGCAGTGGGCACTAGCACTTAGATCATTAGAGATGAGTATTCCAAGGTCCTTTACAGAGCTTGGATCATCAACAAGGTCTTGACTATTCAGCTTGTATTTTATTTTCTGATTTTTTTTGACAATATGTAAGGCAAAGCATTTATTTGTTGAGATTTGAAGTTGCCATTTGCTTGACCATTCTGATACATAGTCGAGGTCTTTTTGCAGGGTAGCAGTATTGCCTGTGGTGTTGAATAGCATCAGCAAAGAGAACTCAGTTGCTCTTAATATGATTCACCTAACAACTGTCCTACTAACTTAACAACTAAGGTGACTTAACTGTGGCAAGAAAGATCGTAAAATGGGGCAAAATTTACTTTATCTCACTTAGTAACTGAAATTTGGGGGTCAATGGTGTTCACAAGTCAAAGACCATCTGTATTTATTTAAAAAGTCAGGCATGCCCACTTCCACTTTGAAGGTAGATGAGGCCATGATGATGAAAGCACCCGCTATTGCAGGGGTCTCCAACCTTGACAACTTTAAGCCTGGGGGACTTGAACTCCCAGAATTCCCCAGCCAGCTTTGCAAACCACTTAGAGAACGCTGTAAAGCGGTATATAAATCTAAGTGCTATTGCTATCTGTCAAGTTTAAACAGGGTCAGCCACTCCGCAGCGCTGCCGCCTAAGCAACTCTAGGACGGGCTGAGACAAAAAGTCCAGGTTTCCCTCAGCTTAGACCGAGGCAACCTTTGGCGCTATTACTGTGCGCAAGCGCCGTTCCACCTGGAGACGTTACAAGGAACGGTTGCCAGCGCGCGTCGCTGGCATTATTTTAAATTAAAAAAAAAAAACACCTGGGAGCTCCCGGCGGCAACGTTGTCTTGCGCATGCTCTGTTTATTCTCTGAGGCTGCCGTTGTGGCGATTCTGCGCACAACGCTCGGAGGTTCCGTGCCGATGGATGGGGGGGTGACGTAAAACGTGCCAGCTGTATGGTTCCCTAGGGAGGCGGGGCCAGGAGGACTAGGCCCCTCCCCTTTCCTCAATCGTAGAGCCGTTGAAGCGCAGTCAGGAATTTCAGATCCGGCAGCCTGGATGGATTTTAAACAATCCTAGAGGGGTCATGTGTGGATTGGGGAGGGAGTAGCAGCGGTATAAAAGGGCCTTTTCTTGGTCCTCCCTCTGGGCAGACTGGGGGGGGAGGAAAAGAAGAGTCTCTTTTGGCGCACAAGTCCCGTAGAGGTTGCGAAAGGGGCACCGGATGTCCCTCCCCGTGGGAAAGGAGCGGTGGATTTTCCCACGCTTAGCAGGTGCGCGCTTGGCTACCACAAATTATAGAGTAGAATTATAATTAGTAACCACTCTACCTGAGCTATCTAATAGGATCCCAATAGCATCACACTTGGCCAATAAAGAATTGTATTATATTCTATTCTTTCACATCTGCAGGATCTTCAGTGGTTCTATTCCCAGCCAATGCCCCTAAATGGTAAGAGGGTGAAAGTTGTTACCCAACCATACCTGGGAAAGCTCAGGGACCCCCAACCTTTTCGTAAAGGGGGAATAAATAAATACAGGTAGCCCTCAACCTGCGACTACAATTGAGCCCAACATTTTTGTGGCTATGCGAGACATTTCTTAAGTGAGTGTTGGCCCATTTTTACGACTTTTGCCACCGTTGTTAAGTGAATCACTGCAGTTCTTAAGTGAATAACATGGTTGTTAAGGGAATCTGGCTTCCCCATTGACTTTGCTTGTCCAAAGGTCACAAAAGGTGATCACAATGGCCAGGGCCATTGCAGCGGTCATAAATATGCAACGGTCCTAAATATGAATCGGTTGCAAGCATCTGAATGTTGAGCCTGTGACCCTGGGGATGCTGTAAGTGGGGGGGGGGAGGCCATGTCAATTTTTTTCAGTGTTGTAACTTCAAATGGTTACTAAAATGAACTGTTGTAAGTCAAAGACTATCGGTAAAGGGGGAATAAAGGGGGCTTGTCAGGAGGGGGATAAGGGAACCAAGAGAGGCTTGTAGCACACAAAGCAGTACCCAAACAGCAAAGTTCATATTGGGGAGAGTGGGTGGGAAGAGGTCTTTTGGGGTAACCCTGAAATGCCTTTGCATTCAACTTTTATTCTCCCTGGTGTACCACATTTTGAAATGAAGAAATATGACTTGCCTTGCTCCATGCAAGGAGGGACATAGGAACCAGAATTCTAGAGTCTGAAATTATCTAGTGACACCAATTTCCCCCCCTCTCCTAAATCAGGAAAATATTTACATTAGGGCTGTCAGAGTTTGTGTGGGAAGTTAACCTTGTTTTGATTTCTGTGTTTCAAATTAATTTAATCATAAGACCTAATGGAGGCATTAAATGGCTCTAACTCCTAAGGGAGCTATTTTAGGTTTGTCAAGTACTTAGGCATTAATTAGCCACCGTTGCAAGCTTCTTTCATCATCACATCTTGGAAAGTCACTACATTTGCCCCTCACCAAGAAATTTCAGAGGACTTTCAAATCCCTTAACCAGGTTTTGTTTATGGGCTCAGCTACAGTTCTGCCTCTGACAGGCTTCACTTTTGTTGCCTATAATTATGAAAACTGTAGGGATTTCTTTTCTCGCTGCTTTCTCTCTGGAGAGATGATCAACTTTTGAAGCCAATGCCTAACTGGATTAGTAAAAAGTGTCCCCAGATACAAAAACTTATAAGAAAAAAGCTTTCAGACATATTCCGCTCCAAAAGTCTCTTGGGGTAGCCCTTCTGCCAAATAACAGGGGTAAAGTTAGGCTAACATCCTGCAGTGAACCAGAAGGCCATAAATGTAAATAACTCTTGCTTGTTTGGAGCTTAACAGTGGCATAGGCTCAGATACATACAGAATAGTTGGAAATGGCCATTCAGAACTGAGTGCAAAACCATGTCCCACCTGGATTTAAGTTTTAATTGAAGGAAAGTTTTCTCTTTTTTTAACTTTCCTCTCTGAAAATGTAATGTTGAAGATTGCAGTGCTGGCTTATCAATATTTTAAATCAAGGGCGTCAAACTCGTGGGCCGTGGGCCGGATGTATCGTGCGCTGGCCATGCCCACCCCCATTTTAGTGAAGGGGAAAAAGTCGCAATACATCACATGATGAAAATAATCAAACAAACTGTCAACTCATAAAATATTTCCATTGTCTTTTTAGAGTTGCCAACAGAAAGGGAGCGGGGAAAGGGGTTTGAAAGAGCAGTGCGCATAGCTTGGAAACCAAAAGTGCGTTCCATAAATAGTTTTTCAAAGTTAGTAACTAGGTGACTGAAGTTTCTCCGTGCAAATATCTAACTGGAGAGCATGATTGATGCCTCTTGGCTATGGATGTGTCCCATTGAAGAATATGAATTATGATACACCCAGGAGAAAACCAGGGTCAAGGGTGACAATGAATTATGTGTCTCAGAGTTGGCTATACCCAGGCAGTGCCGGACATGTTAATTCCCAATAAATCCTTTTGAAGTTTTGGAAGTTTGGTTCAAGACTCATGATTTCATTAGCGTAACTGCTGGAATCCTGACACAAACATTTATTGTCAATGCACAACATGTGTACAATGAAATTGAAATGAGCCTCCCTTGGTGCTGGCCCTGCAAGTCTATCATATAAAACCTAATTGTGGTGTTACATTGCATTCAGAAGTCTGACAGCCCATGAATAAAAGCTATTTTTCGGCCTATTTGTTTGGGTGGCTATGCTTCTATATCTCCTGCCCAATCGTAGGAGAGTAAAGAAGTGCTGACCAGGATGTGAATCATCCTTGAGGATTTTCCTCACTCTGCTGAAGCAGCGGGTCCTGGCGATTTCATCCAGGTATCTGGACAGCTCATAATAAGATGATGTAGAAAACATCAGGAATAAGCAGTCCTGCACATAAAGTGGCCCATGTTATCTATGTAGGGCTGTAAAAGTGACAAACTCTACCTTGAATGGTGGCACAGTGGTTAGAATGCAATACTGCCGGCTACTTCTGCTGACTGCCAGCTGCCTGCAGTTTGGCAGATTGAATCTCACCAGGCTTAAGGTTAAGAGAGGAAAAATCTACCTCTGGGCCTCTGCTGGCTCAAGTGTCCAAAAAGATAAGAATGGAGTGCAACAGTGGAAGAATTTCTCCAAATATATTCTCTGTAATTGCACTGGAACAATTTGTCCTAAAATGCTTATTATTGTTAATCCCAGCAACACTCAAGATAGGAAATCATTTAAGAATTCAGTCTCTTTATTATCTTTAATCCTATGTTGAGCTTGCCAGGTGAGGCCTCTCCTCTGTAGCTCTTTCTGCTCCTTCTGCTGCTCCAACCAGCTGAGATGGAATTGACAAGGGCCACTACTCAAAAACTGCTCTAGGAGTTTATCATTACTGCACTGGCTGACACTCTTTCCACATTCCACGCATTTATGTGGTCTCTCCTTTGTGTGGGTCCTTTGATGGGAAGTCAGCTGAGTGCTTCACCTGAAACTCTTTCCACATTCTGTGCATTTATACGGGTTTCTCCCCCTTTATGGATCCTTTTATGGTAGGTAAGGTGAAAGTTTTGGATAAAGCTCTTTCCACACTCTTCGCATTTGTATGGTTTCTCCCCGTGCTAATCATTCTATGGGAATTAAGATAACACTTCTCGCTAAAGCTCTTTTCACAATCCATGCACTTATTTGGTTTCTCCCCCGTGTGGATTTTTTTATGGGAATTAAGATAGCTGCACTGGATAAAACTCTTGATATGATCTCTCTCCTGCATGGATCCTTTTATGGTATGCAAAGGAACCGCTCATGCTGAAGCATGTTATGATATATACAGAATAGCCCTTGAAGTAACAAGGATATGCACATGGAAACGTTTATGAGAGTAGTTATGAATAATTATTCAGCCACACACAGATACACTAAATTGAGTTAAAAGTTTACTTTAAGAAATAGCACAGTCCAATAAACAGTCCAGGTCATATACGTTTAACAGTCCAAAGAATATCCAATTACAAAGTCTTCTTACTGGTTGCCTTTGTCATTTACAGTAAACAAAGATATCAAAGTATAAGCACAGCATAAATACAATAGAGAACCTTAGATAGCAACAGAATGTCAGAGAGAGCAAGCTATGATCTCTAGCTCCCTCTTATGGTAATTTGCAATATAATCAATTGGAATATAGTATAAATCAATGCAGTGATTTTGTCTTAAAGCTACAAACACACATTGTTGGTTTATATATTGCCAACCCAACTAATTGGTGTACAGATTCCTAGCAAAGCTCTTTCCACACTCCATGCACTTATATGGTTTTTCCCGTGTGGATCCTTTGATGGGATGTAAACTGACTGCTTTTCCGGAAGCTCTTCCCACACTCCGTACATGGATATGGCCTTTCCCCTGTGTGGATCATTTTGTGGGAATGAAGAGTAACCTTTTGAGTAAAGCTCTTTCCACATTCCATGCACTGATATGGCTTCTCCTGTGTGTGGATTTTTTTATGCGAATTGAGATTACAGCGCTGGCTAAAGCACTTTCCACATTCCGTGCATTTATGCGGTCTCTCCTTTGTATGGGTCCTTTGATGGGAAGTCAGCTGAATGCTCCATCTGAAGTTCTTTCCACACTCCAAACACGAGTATGGTTTCGCCCCTGTGTGGATCCGTTTATGATAGGTAAGTTGAAAGTTCTGGATAAAGCTCTTTCCACATTCTTCACATGTATACGGTTTCTCCCCCGTATGAATCATTCTATGGTAATTAAGATTACACTTCTGATTAAAGCTCTTCCCACAATCTGTGCATTTATATGGTTTCTCCCCTGTGTGAATTTTTTTATGAGAATTAAGATAGCTGCACTGGCTGAAACTCTTTCCACATTCCATGCATTCATACATTCGGTCAACTGCATGGATCCTTTTATGATATGTACAGGAACTGCTCAAGCTGAAGCCCTTTCCACAGTCCGTGCACTTGTATGGTTTTTCCCCCGTGTGGATCCTTTGATGGGAAATAAGACGAGAGCTCTTCCGGAAGCTCCTTCCACACTCCATACATGTATATGGTTTCTCTCCGGTATGAATCATTTTATGGAAATCCAGAGTAACCTTTTGGGTAAAGCTCTTTCCACACTCCGTGCATTTATATGGTTTTTCGCCTCTGTGAATCTTTTGATGGGAAGTAAGCTGAGTGGTCTTTCTGAAGCTCTTACCACATTCCATACATTTATATGGTTTCTCTCCTGTGTGAATCATCAGATGGGAATTAAGAGTAACCTTCTGCGTAAAGCTCTTTCCACACTCCATACATTTATATGGTTTCTCTCCAGTGTGAATTTTTTTATGGGAAGTAAGATATCTGCGCTTGCTGAAACTCTTTCCACATTCCATACATTTATACGGTTTCTCTCCGAAATGGATTCTTTCACTGAAAGCAAAGGAGCTGCTTTCATTTAAATGCTTTCCATTCTCGGCACACTGATATGGTTCATTTCCCATGTTTGTTTCACCACATAAAGAAAGATTAGAAGTCCAATTGTAGCCATTTTCATCCTTTTGGTATACATTCTCTTTTTTAGTGCTAATTGTGTGATGTTTGCGTAAATCTGAACCCTCTTCAAATGTTTTCGTGCTTCCCACATTTATTTTTTCATTTTGATATTTTCTGGGAAGAAAGCCTTGAATTTCAGTGGATGGGAAAGTTGAGTTACTGTTACTCTCATTTTTTGACAGATTTATTTCATGTTCTTTGGGTTCCATTGAATTTGCAAACTCTTCCCTTCTCTTCTCGTGCCTAAACATTTGGAAGGCTTCCTTGTTCTCTTGAATGCAATTTCCTTAAGAGAAAAAGAATGAATGAAAAATTGAGGCAAGGTAGAGGAAGCAAAGTAAGAATGCATATAAATTTCCAAGTGAAATTCTGCAATATATTCTCCACTATTTTGAAAGGAGTTTGTTCCACTAACCAACAAATACTCTGATCTAAGCCTTACAAATTTGGAGTTTGAGTAACAAGTTATTATACATAATAATGTCCATATGTATAACACTGCACAGTATAGAAGTGGATCATTTCTATTCATGAGCTGCTTAAACCATCAAAAATGCATTTGTTTACATAAAACAGACATTTGCACTGTTACACCATTTCACTGAATAAATTAATTCTGCTTATGGTTTGTTATGAAATCTCCGAGTTCAGTTAAGGAAGTGAGAAATTGGGGGAAATGCTGGTAATATACATTCCAGAGGTGAACAAGTAGAACCATGTGAGCAAGGATTTATAATTACTAGATCTAATTTCTTGTCTGTCTTGAAATACCTGCTATTAACTGTGGTAAAAACAATAGTTATTAGAGAAACAAGGAGGGATTTGGGGAATACAACAGCACTTAATATTGTTAATGTCATTTATATTTACTGATAATCTTCAACTTACAACCACAATTTTGTCCAGGATTTCCACATTAAATTATGTTCACAAATCCAAACATGTGACCAGATCTGTTTTTACAACCATTTTTACAGTAGTCATTAAGTGAATCACAATGAGGGCTTGCAGTTTTCCTACAGTCATTTAAAGTTGTTAAATGAAACAACACATACTGTGCAGTACTGCTGGGGAAAGTGTTAATGTTCCCTCCCCCAATAGTTTAAATTAATACTGTACCTTAATAAAAATCAGATCTATAGACAGTAACAAAAAACCTGCAATTTTCTATATCAGGCGATAAAAACATAATATTTGTACACATTTAAAGATACTGTGATACAAATATTCCTCAACTTACGACCATCTGTTCAGCAACCACTTGAAATTACGATGGTGCTCAACAGAATTACAACCAGTGCTCAAAGTTATAACCATTGCAGTGCCCCCCAAGGTCACATAACCAAAATGGGGGTGCTTTGCAGCAAACCTACTCTTATTACCATAGAGGTGCTGCAACTTACACCCAGCTGCCTGTCTCACCCTGCCTAGGCTGCCCTCACTAGTAGCACTTGGCTCCAAACTGCACCAAGCTTGGACTTGAACTAGAGACCAGAGGTCTTCAGCAGTCTTAGCTACCTGCTACCATCCCGGCCTCAACTTCAGCCCTAGCATCACCACTGCCGCTCAGAAATGCTGCCTTGTGCCAATCTCCACGGCATGTGAGCCTTGGGAAATGGGATAAATACCTCCATGGCAAAGGGCTACATGCCACTTACCTTCAGGTGACTTTCTCCTTCTATTGAGAGGCCCCCATAGTGTATCTGAGGCAGCTCCAGGTTGCACAAGGCCTTCTTTCCTAAAAACAGCTGTGGAAGAGGTTCTCACATAGCCTCTGGAAGTCGCGTGAGAACAGTGTGCTGTTGCATGACCTCTGGGTCTTCTGGAAACTACAACAGGGCATGCTCTCACGCAACCTCCAGAACCTTCGGACACGCTCTCATGTGTCGTCTGTTCTCCAGAAAGTATATGAGAACAGATTATGTTCTCATACCAGCCTCTTGGGGTTCTGGAATCCATGCAAGAATGGAACATGCTCTCACACAACTTCCAGAATCCTCACAAGAATGGGGCATAGTCCTGCACAGCCTCCAGATGTTTCAAAGGCCACAGGAGGGCACTCCCTCTTATGTAGCTTCTAAAGGCTCCAAAGGCCACATGAGAACATTCTCTGGAGCTGCTTAAGGGATAAGGCCTCATAAGCCCTGGAACTGCCTCAAATAGGCTATGAGGATCTGTTAACAGGAGAAAGATGCTCCAAGATTAGAGGTGTGCTGCAGATTCTGAGGAGCACTGGGCAACTGCATCATTTCCCAAGGCTCACATACAGGACTAAAACAGGAGAACTGGTGTGGTGAAGGCAGCTGGCTGAGACTGCTGAAGACCTCGATCTTCAGCAATTCTAAGGCCTTAGAAGTGCTGGAAGTTCTGCTGTATAGGGGTGGGAAAGGCCTGGGAGGTACAGCACAAGCCATGAATGAGCTGAGGGAAGGGCAGTGTGTGCCTGGGCCTGAAATAGAGTGCAGACCAGAGGTGGTATTCAGCAGCTTCTGATCAGTTCGGGAGAACCGCTAGCGGAAATTTTTAGTAGTTCGGAGAACCGGCAAATACCACCTCTGACTGGCCCTGCCCCTATCTATTCTCTGCCTCCGAATTCCAGCTGATCAGCTGGGTCTTCTTGTGTTGCCCTGTACAGGAGAACTGAGCTGGAAAGCAGGTTAGCGAGGTAGGGAGGGAATGTGATTTTGCAGTAACCTTCCCCCAGGAGTCGGGAGGGAATGGAGATTTTACAGTATCCCTGCCACACCCACCAAGCTGTGCCCACCAAGCCACGCCACGCCCACAGAACCACTAGTAAAAAAATTTGAATCCCACCACTGATGCAAACCTAAACCACAGCCTCCCAAACACTAAATGTTCTGCTTTATGAAGTGTGGTTGATTAATAACTGCAAAAGGGAGAGCCAGGATTGGGGGTATTGAACAAAGCGGTCACATGGTACCCCATTTAGTGACTTCAAGGAATTATGACCAAAAATTCTGCGTTCAATTAAGGTTATAAGCTAAGCATTTGTCTCTACAGTACCATACTGCAAAACAAAGATTCCAACAAAAACCTTAAAACGTTTTAAATAATCGACCACTATTAATTGAAAATAATACTAGCCACAGAAACATTTCCAATTCACCTTGGTTCTTTAAGAAGATTAGGATTGTGCTATAATGTACAATATGAGATAAGAAGAAAAACTCAGAAATGTATCTGAAATTACTATTTGTAGTGTGTGTACTGTATGTGATTGAAAATGTAAGACAGGAAACAAATGATCTTAAAATCAAAACTATGCATTTTGTAAAAAGGTAGTGTTTCATTACTGTCCTATAAATTACTCCACTAAATTTACAATGTACTGTACTTATTCCAGTATTTATTTTACTGTATTTACTGTATAATATGTACAGTACAATACTGTATTGTATTTTAAATGGAAGTATCCTTCATTTTAGGCCTCTGAGTGGTTTTCCTGGAGAATTTCCAAACGTTGGTAGGACCAGAATTAAGAAATAGACATAGCCAGTTCCAAAACTGAATTTAATTCAATATAGTACATTGTGGATATTAAATTAAAATTTTAACTAATTGTATATTTAATTTTACAGTTTTGACACACTGATACAATTCGACAGCAAGTGGCAGAGGAAGACTGCATATGGTTCAAAAGTCTCAAGTTTCAAACCTCAATCAGCTCAGGGAATAAGGAACTGGCAAACCACTTCCCTAAAGTATTGCAAAGACAACGAAATAAACTTGTCTAGGTACTATAGGACTCAAGATTGACTTAAAGTTCATTTAGAAAGATAATTTTGAATTACAGTATCATCTGAAGCCACACACAAAAAATCCTCTATAAAGTATGCAAATAAGCCACAGGTAGAGATATGAGGACTTATAAAGGATAGCCACCCCTGACATTAGAATGTCTTATACTGCACTGTATACAAGTTAGCAGAAGTTTCTTTGGTGGTATAGAGAAGTTTCTTTTCCCTTGGTAGCCTTCTTCTACACAATGGGAGCAAGGGAAGTATATTTCATCATCAAAAATTGTCTTAAAATCTTTACTGTATGCAAGAATAACTACAATACTACTGAACTGTATGTGGCATGAGAACTTAAAATGCTAGCTGTAAGCCACCTTTAGATTAGAGTTGCTACTATTGGGCTAGTTTGAGTAGGCTATTACAGGGCATCATATTTAATTTTCCCAAACCCAAGAATTGGCCCTAACAATACAAGCTTCAGCACAGAACAGAACAGAGCAATGCAGAACCCTTTTCCCCCTTCAACCATCTTTCATTCAGTAATCGCTTTCTGTTATCTTTCAAAGAACTGAACTTTTTATAGCTTTACAGTAAAAACCTTTTAATAATAATTTATATGTAACAAAAGAAAATACAAGTATTATTATTATAGACATAATATTGTATTACTGTGCAAAAATAAAGGGCAAAATCAGATTTTACAACTGTCTACTCTATAAACATAAAGTTAATCTTTTCCTATGTCTTGAGTACCGATGACGTTAGATAGGTTGGCGTAGCTGATTGACGGCTGACAACCGACAGATTTCTGTTCTTGTACATGGAGAAGATGGTACAGGTGAGAAAGGAGTAACTTTCCTAAAGAATCCAGCAAGGGTGATTTATAATTTTTTTTTCCTGTTTTTAAACTCTACGGCACACAATCTCATCAATTCCCTGTGCATTTTTTCAACCCATTGTAAATTCGGATCTCTGCTTTCTGAAAATTATAAAGCTTGGTTCCTGCGACAAGAAAAAAAAAATCAGACAATGCTTTCGGAGGTAACTTTTGGGGCTGAATTACTACATTTTCTCTTTCCCTTTCAAAATCTTCTTCCCC